CCCCAGCGCGGGGGGACCCGGCCGATCGGGGCCCTTGGCGATTCTGGGGAGGCCGGAGAGGCGCCGTAGGCAGCAGGTGCCGGGGGCAGCAGCCAGCCCCGCTGGGGGAGCCAGGGCTCGGCTCCCGGCCCTTGCGACCGGCGAAGATCGTTAGAGCCTGCTCCCGGAGAGGTTCTTTAAAAACGGAAATGATGCAACGATGAACGTTTTAAAGGAGCTAAAAGCACTTGGTGGCAAAACCGGGACACATTTCCTCCTAAAGCATCTTTTCAGTGGGTGCTTCCCTTAAAACCTCGTGCAACTTTGTATTAATAAACATTATAGCCAGTCCAGGCTGAGAAGTCGCCTTCAGCTCTATCGCTACGGACCTTAAAGGGAAAAAACCAAATTACTGGAGAGTACATAGTATACATAGCAAAGCTGGCTGCTTCATCATACGTCCAGTGATTTGTCAGATCACTGTGTACTGCAAAGGTTAGGCCTAACAGATGAATTTGTGAAATACTAAGTAACCTTATTGCCTGTTTGTACAGAATCATTGTTTTTCATTTCTTTTGATATTCCATTAGAGCCTACATTTTCTGTTTTATTTGACTTATGTGCTGAACTTCTGAAACTGAACTCCCCTCCTCAGAGTAGTCTCCCTGGTCGCTATTAAACAACTACCATATTTTAATTTACAGGGAATTATGCTTCCCTTATATCTGTATCATGTATGAATACATACAGGTCTTCTGGTTAAAGCCACAAAACCAGCTCTACTTAGCTGGATATATAAGTAAATCTGTCACCTTAATGAACAAGCATTGTTAATACTGGTATTTTTTTCCCTTACCAATGCACATAGCATTTATCTGAGCTTAAAAACAGAAGAATGTTTTTTATCTCAGGTTGTAAACATGAATGATCACTTTGGAGAGACTGAAAGGAAGAATGTGCCTTGCATTAGAAGAGTACAAAGTACAGTTTTGCTCTGCAATTCTTTCAAGTGCTACCTAAAAAAAATTGTTAAAAATAATTCAAAAAAAAAAGCCTTACAGCATTTAAGGTTTTCAGTTCTTAAACTAGTTTTTGAAAAATTGCCAAAGAGAAAGAGAAGACTTATGTCTAAGACACGAGTGCACTTAGAAACAGCTGTCAGTTTGAAGGTCCTGGTAATGGCCTAATCCTTTTTGTCTACATAAGTGCTTTTCAGAGTGTGACAATATCATGTTTGTTTCACAGATAGGGAGACAGCAGCTCAGGAGTTAATGCTGCCTTCTTGTCACTTTACCTCCTAAACAGTCTTAACTATTTCAGCAGCGGGGG